ATGCATATGAGCCTAACCAGTGGTCACAGACAACAGGGTGGTGGGGGCATGCATGGGGAGGGGTTTGAAATGGGAATGCGGGGATGAGGACAAATATGTGATACCTTAATCAATTAAGAAATTTAAAAAAATAAATAAAATGACACTTGAAACTGCACTTTAGTCAGTGCATGTCTCCCATATTACATATAGAAAGCTGAGGTCCAGATCACTTAAGAGACAAGCAAAGTATAACTATTACATTAGTGGTATTCAAAAAAGGTGTATGTACTCTGTGGTTATAAAAGATATCCATGAGGTGAAGGAAAAAATATGAAATGGTAATAGTATTTTTTTGTGTTTCATCTTACCTAATAATAGATAAATATGTAAATTGACCATACTTTCACTACGCCTACTGCCAATCAAAGTGAGTATGCAAATTAACCCAATAAAGATGACGGTTAATTTGTATACATAGGCGCCACCAGCCTGGCTCCCAGGAATATCCTGGGCACCCAGATCACTGTGAGGTAGGCCCTGCACGGGCCCTCAGCAGCCTGGGAAGGGCCTAAGCCAGGGGACCCCTGCACAGGGCTCAGCCTGTGACTGGCCGAGGGGGAGCTGGGGCGGAGCCAACCATTGGAGGGAGCTGGTGGACCCCTGCCATCGGAGAGAGCTGGGGGGGTCCCTGCCCAGGCCCTGAGGCTTTAGGCCTGGGCAGGGGTAGAGCCAGAGATCTGTGTGTACTACAGAGGAAACACCTTTTCTGACTGCTCATTGGCTAAACTCCCTGTATGCCACTAGTAATATTCTTAGCAACTGTGGTAAATAAGAATCCAAAAAGGTGATCTAGGGTTTTTCCACCACACTCCTGGAGAAAAAAACGAAGGTACACTGCTGGAGGGCTAAGAAATGTTATATCCTGCCCTAGCTAGTTTGACTCAGTGGAGAATGCCTCAGCCTGCCAACTGCAGGGTCAGGGTTTGATTCTGATGAAGGGCATGTACCTAGTTGCAGGCTCCTCCCTGGCTGGGGCACAGGTCAGGCTCATGCAAGAGGCAACCAATCAAGATGTTCCTCTCACTTTGATGTTTCTCTCTGTCTTTCCCTTTCTCTTTCACATTCTCTAAAAATCAATGGAAACATATCCTCAGGTGTGGATAAAAAAAGAAAGAAAGGTCATATCCTATGAAAGACATTTTTAAAATGCCTAAAGAAAGTTGTAATTTTTTCATGGTGAAGGGACTGGAGTCCGTGTTAATGAAACACCTTAGTGGCTGCAGTGACTGACAGTGGCTGCAGCAGCAGGGTGATAGGGCTGGTGCCTTCCCCTGATCAGCCTGGTCGCCTCCCACAAAGGGAGGCCAGACTGTGACGTAGGCCTGCTGCCCACCCCCCCTGAGAGCGGGCCTAAGTGATCAGTAGAACATCCCCTGAGGGCTCCCAGTATGTGAGAGAGGGCAGGCTGGGCTAAGGGACTCCCCACCAGTGCACAAATTTTGTGCACCAGGCCCCTAGTTATGCATTTAATAAGCTTATAGAAGCATTTGCACTCAAAACTTTTTTTTAAATCATTACATCTAGTCAGAATCATCTGTACACTACTATCTTAAAACTATAACCCAGACCTGAACCAGACGTTCCCTTATTTCCCACCCTTCTGATCCCTTCCCCAATTCACCCATATATGCTACTGAGTATGTACAGCTCTGCCAGTCAACTCAAGACACACTTGTTCTCAGCTGGGGCCTGGAAATCAAAATTATTAAACCAGGATTTTTAAATTCTTATTTCTTTATCATCCCATTTCAAAATATCATCATTCTTTTCTGAACCACACAGATTAAAAAGAAGAAAGAAATCCAATTATTAAAGTAATACTGATTTTTTGCTGAGAATAGGAAATGAAATAATAATTTTAATAAAATATAAACAAAAAATACTTCTCACACCTTATCTAATACAAAATACAGAATCACCTTTGAGAAATTTTTGAAAGAGATATGTAGTCAGTATCTGACATGCTAATTGAGTTATTAGTCCTCAAAGGCTTATGAAAAGTGAATCAATTTTCACATACATTTTATTCTAAGGCCTATAATCTGATTAACACTAGGGCCACCTCCCACTGGGCTTCTGCAGAACACCCCTGGAACTGACACTCTGCTAGAGGGGAGATATGGTTGGTAAATAGAAGGGTGTGTGGGGAATAAATCCACACGGATTGCAACTTGAATTTAAAAGTTAAACTTAGGAGAGTTTCTTGGGGATTAAGCACTTTCAAGACATGGTAGGAAGGAGCATGTATCATGGAACTAAGCTTTAAAAAGCCCAAAATATACATGAACCTCTACAGAACATTTTCCTTGGAATTTATAGTGCAGGACAATTTTTCAATGAGTTGTTTGGACACTTCAGAAGTCTACATTCCCTTGGATACTGATCAAAATAGGTGAGTTTGTTGTATTTCTCTCAATAATAGAATACAGCATAGCATAATTGATAAGGCACAGGTTGTAGTGTCAGACTCTCTCGCTTTGAATCATGACTCTGACATTTACAACTTGTATGACCTTAAGCAAATCACTAAAGTTTTCTAGACCTCAGTTTCCCTATCCACAAAAGTGGAGATCATAATAGAACTTAAATAATAGTGCTGCTGTGGTAATTAAGTGATACTATGAATAGTACCTGGCAAAGAGCAAATGTTTAATAAACTATAGTTGCTATGGTGAGGATGATCAAAGATTATGAGTGTTACTTTAAGCTTCTTAGAATTTAAGTTGCTATCTATAATATAGGATGATCACCCTAGCTGGTTTGGCTCAGTGGATAGAATGTTGACCCATGGACTAAAGGGTCCCGGGTTTGATTCCAGTCAAAAGCACATGCCTGGATTGTGGGCTTTATCCCCAGTAGGGGGTGTGCACAAGGCAGTCAATTAATGATTCTCATCATTGATGTCTCTATCTCTCTCTCCCTGTCTGAAATCAATAAAAATATATTTTAAAAACAAATAAAATAAAATATAGGATGACCAAGGGCAATCATTCTTTTGAGTTATTCTTTAGTTAGCATTTCCTTGTCACTCACTAAGTATAACATGAAGGGACCTGTAAAAAGAGTTATATCAAACTAGTCTCCAGCTTTCAAAAAATTACTAGCTTTATGATTTTTATATTATGAACCATTTTTTAAAATTTTTATTTATAAATAAATTCATACTTAAAAATAAGCAAAATCACAAAATAAAAATAATAAAAGGGATACCTGGATACCCTTTACTCAGATTTATCTATTGTTAAAATTTTACCCCTTTTGTTTTGTGTTTGTATGCTTTCTCTCAATAGATAAATTGGTAGATATTAATATATATATATACATATGTAGTTTAATATTTTGATCCATTCAAGGTAAGTCATATGCACCATGGTAATAAAAATATGTACTATACTTTTATCTAATATATGCTTCTTTATTACTCACCAATGGTTGTGAAATGCAGCACTTTCACTTTATGTTTCACAGTACTGACTGAACTTGGAATAGTCAATGGTATATGGAACAACTTACTATCAAAAAAGTAAGACAATCTTGCCCAACTATCAATTTACAAATGAGATGTATAGATTAGTGAGGAGATCTGTGTTCTATGTGATAAAATATGGTAATTATATTGAGTCCAAGGAGCAGTAATATCATGACAACTCTTCTGGTTAGAACAGCGATACAATTGCCATGGGGCCTCCTGGGATTTTTGTTGGTATCAAAAGCTGTCTTTGCTTCTTGGCCTTGACACTGGAGTCAGCATTTTGAATTTCAGGTGCCTTCTCATCATACAGTTTTTAAACTTTTGTACCTGTTATCTTGAAATGGAATGAACCTGTCACCTTGAAATGGTATGGTAACAGATAAACAGAAAGATTCCCAGCACAAATAGGAAAAGGATATGAGTTCCATAATGCAGGTAATAAACACAATTTACTGCACACAAATGGCAAAAACATAGAGCAAGAAGCTATTACAGTCAGTGATATGTTTCCTTGATTTTCAAGTCCCCGGAAGGTACCTTATAGTCATTGATACTGATTGGGATAAGTAACAATGTAGTTCTTAATATAAGACATCCTTTTCTGTTTTCAGTACTATCTTGGCTCTTTTTAACCATACTCCAGACTCTGGCTACTTCTCTACCTGCCTACCCATAAGGCTGCAAATAACTGAAAACAACTTCTCACAAACCTGCATGCTTCCTACAAGGTTAAATAAAAGATCTAGTTTTTCATAAATACCTCCTACCCAGCAGGCCTAGATTTGAGGCCTCCTTAAAGTCTATATCTGATCATGGTTTTTCACAGTTTGAGCAAAGAAATTCTTTCTTCAACCAACAACTCAAACTGAAATCCAATAAATAAGAGAGCTAAAAGTGGAGGCACTGTGGTTGAAAAAGATTGAGAAGCCCAGAGTCTTTGGCCACCTATTTTGAACCCCCTACCTCCCAATCTTGGTTACTCCAGTGCAGGTTGACGGTCAAGAGCATAGACTCTGCAGGCAGACTACCTAGATTTGAATCTTAACTTTAGCATTTCCTAGGACAGTGGTCGGCAAACCACAGCTTTCCAGCCATATGCAGCTCTTTGGCCCCTTGATTGTGGCTCTTCCACAAAATACCACGTGTGGATGCATACATACAGTGTGACTGAAACTTCATGGCCCATGCACAGAAATCGGTTTTCAGCCTGTGCAAGTTTATTTTGAAGAAGTGGCTTTAGAAGAAGTGGAGGTGTCGGTCAATAGGTCAGGCAAGAGGAGACGTGTGCAGGTGGGCTATGGGATAACCAGAGTGGGGGAGGCACGTGTGATTCATGCAGGAGTTGAGTGAGCCAGTCAGTCAGCAGTCTCATTGTGCAGTGGTTAATGCTAGTCGCATTCACAAATAGTGCACAGGTGACAAAAGTACCAAAAGTACCTACTCAAAGCATAAAGTTACCTGTATTTTTCCAACCAGCTGCAAATCCTACTGGTATTTTTATCATCAATTTAAGAATTGTAATTATATTGTGTTGGTGGCTTTATTATTATAAAATGAAACTTTTTTTAGGTGCCCTGTTTTACATGGCTACAAAGAATAAGCAAAGAAAAATGGAAGATGAAAACCGGGAATTTAAAGTTGAATGGACCGAGACTTTCACTTTCATTCAAAACTTAAATGGCCTTCAGACCTGTCTTATTTGTCAGGAAAAATTGGCGCATAACAAGAAATCAAATTTGGAGAGACCCTTTACAACTAAATACGTATCATTTAGTACTAAATATCCTGTGGGTGATGCAAGGAAGAAAGCAGTTGAGAAACTTCAGAAGAGTCAAGAAAAAAATGGTTCTGTATTTAATTACTGGATGCAATCTTCTAACAATGTTAATATTGCAAGTTTTAAGGTTAGTCGAGAGATTGCTAAGAGAGAAAAACCATACAGACTGTGAATACATAAAAAGTTGTTTTATAAATGCATCCAAAGAGCTATTTTGGGATTTTAAGAACAAAGCAGATATTCTAAAAGAAAAAAATAAATAAATAAATAAATAAATAAATAATTAATTAATTAAATTAAAGTGTTACTATTGTCTGCTAAAGCAATGAAAGATAGAACAGTCAAAAATGTCTTCAAATGTAACTGACCAGCAAGTCTAAGATCTTAAATTGGTTTCAGCTTTATCAATAACAGTTGGCGAGTCTTGTGACATAAATGATACAGTGCAAGTTTCACTTTTTGTACAATTTATTTCATCTACAGGTCCTAAAGAAGAACTTTTAGGATTATTGCCACTCAAAGGTCAAACGCGTGGAGAGGAAATAGCAAATTAGTGCATTGAAAAACATCATATTCCACTTGACAAAACTGTCTCAATTTCAACAGAAAAGTATGACTGGCGTAAGAAATGGGTTTGTTGCTATTTTGAAAGAAAAAAATTAATCATGAGATACTTACCATTGCACCATTCATCAAGAAGTGCTTTGTGAGCAGACATTTCCAAAAAAAATTGCAAAGTTATGGAATTGGTGATTAACATTATCAATTCCATTAAAGCTAAAACTCTTAATCATTGCCAATTTAAAGAATTTTTAGTTGAAATGAGAGTGAGTTCGCAGATCTTCTACTGCATATCAAGAGGAAACGTTTTAAAATGTTTCACTTCCATATTAACAGAAATTAATGCATGTCTCCTTTAGAATAAGGTGACCAGATGTTCTGCTTTTGGCCTGACAGTCCCGACTTTTAACAATTTGTCCCACGAAAAATCGGGACTATTTAAAACGCCACAGGCCGCGGGACAAATTGTTAAATCTTGGGACTGTCCTGCCAAAAGCGGGAGATCTGGTCACCTTACTTTAGAAGGGTGTTCACTATCCAGAACTAACGAACGATCAGTGAATCCAAAAATTTTATTTTATGATAGACTTTAGGTCTCATCTAAATCAGCTTAGTCATAAACTATAGGGGAAAGGAAACAATTTTTTTGATGTTAGAAGTTACTTAATTCGAAAACAAATTATCTCTTTTTGCTCAAGATTTTTAATGAGAAACTTCGATTCACTTTCCAAGTCTGTTGAAACATTGCCAAGAAAATAATTCTGATATTGACATTTTCTATTTCAAAACAACACTTTTAAAGATGAGGGAAGCTTTTCTTAACAGGTTTCAGGAATTCAGAAACAGCAAAGTTTTTTTTGTTTTGTTTTGTTTTTTGTTTTTTGTGTTTTTTTTTTAAAAAAAAAACTCTTTATGCTATTGTAACAGAATTAAACTTTTCTTCCTTTAATACTGACATTGGCAACTTTGAAATGCAATTCTGGATTTAAAAAACAAAGAATTGTGGAGTTTAAAATTTGAACGTCTTTGTGATGATATAGAAATATTGGAGAAAAACAAATGTGAACTTAGTTCACCGCACAAGTGGTCTGCTTTGATAGACCTGGAGAAGGAAGATATGTTGATTTTTAACACCTGGAATAGTATTCCTGACTCATACAACCAACTGAAAAAAACTAGCCTTAGCTGTTCTTTCCTTATTCGAATCTACATATTTATGCAAGCAATCATTTTCAAGGATGAACCTTATCAAGAGTAATGAGAACCTGGAATCATGCCTAAAACTAAAAACAACATACAAACCTGACTTACCCAAATTTTCCAAGTAGATGCAAGGCCATTGTTCACATAAGTGTCAGTCATTATCATTATTTAATTTTATGGATATTGTAAGGTAAATTGTAAGGAATTTAATTTTATCAATAAAAATGTCGTTATTAAGTATGATATCAAGTTTAATTCAACATACCTATAGTTTAACTGAGACTTAAAACTTTAAGTAAAGTTAATTTTAGGTAATGTGCAGTGAAAGAAGATGTAGTGTGGAGGATTGAGAAAGATAAGTTGAGATGGTTTGGAAATTTAGAGAGGATGAACAAAATGGGATAGACAAAACAAGTATACAAGACGAGTGTGGATGTGAGAGTTGGAAGGAGTTGGAAGAGACCTCAGCAAATGTTCCTCAATCAAATTGAGGACATTTTTAGCAAAGGCCAGCTTAGGAGTACTCTAATTAAATTAATAACAATGGGAGGAGGTAAGATGGCGGAAGAATAGATGGGCGGATTCTGAGCCCTCTCATGAAACAGAAAGAGAGAGCAACTGAGGGTCTTGTGCTGTGAGTGTTTATTAGCAAGCTGGGAGACAGTGAACACCAGAAGAAACTGCTGGGGGGCTGCTGACAGAGGTACCCCTCACAGGGAAGCACCCACGCGGGCTAGGTCCCAGACCAGAGCTACCTACCTGCTTGGACGGGGAAACCTCGCCATCTTGAGAGGAAGATAGGATCCTGTCAGAGGCCTGAATATCCACAGCCACAGCGACCACCAAGCATCTGTGACCCCCAGAACGAGGATCCCAGGTGGCATGACCACCTGGCCTCACAGGAGTGCGAAACTGCTCAGCGAAAAGGTCAGATTTTGCGGGGAGAGGGTGGAGAGCATTCACGGCGAAAACAAAAAGCCTGCATGCACAGAGCATGTGGAAGCTGGAGGACAAGGGCGGTGATTACAAGTAGAAGCCCCAGCTGTTGGGTGGTTGTCACCCGTGAAAAGTGGACCCAGCTCCTAACAGGGGAGATATCTAAAGAGCAACACATTTGGATCTGGCTCGGAGGGAGATCGGAGAGTTGCAGGAGATTGCAGTTGCTGGGACCTGCCCCCTCCCCCCCTCTGTAGTTCCTGCTTCAGAGAGGACAGAAAAAAAAAAGAAAGAAAAAAGAAAAGAAAAAAAAAAAAGCTGGAGGGGCTCTAGAGTCTGGGAAGTCAACCTAGAAACACTGCCCCCAGAGGCTAATTCACAAATTGACTCTAGTGTAATAAAAACAAAGCAAAACCTGCCTAAAAATCAGGACTGGATCATAACAATAGAGGAAGCGAATAACCTTCATTACTACAAATTTTATTTTAATTTTTTTTAATTTTATTATTAGTTTTTAAATTTTTGTTTTTTATTTTTGTTTTCATTATTTGCAACGTTTACTCAAGAAAATATTTTTTTTTCTTTTTCCTCACTTGATTTTATCTTTATAATTATTACATTGTATATGTAATCAACATTATTACTACTACTAATTTACATTTTTCATCTATTTTCTTTTTTTATTTTTATTATTTTTATTTCATTTGATCATATATATATATATATATATATATATATTTTATTTTTATTTTTTTATTTCAGGATTACTGTTCCACAGTCTTTATCTATCTTTCCCTCTCCAACGCTTTATTCTATCTCAACCCTACCTTTATGCCTTCACCCTCTTTCCGAACTTCTTCTTTGGTACCCCGTTTATCTTAACTCTTTCCTGTTCTAGATTTTCCCCATTCCTTCTGTCTACCCCCTCCTAAAATTTCACCCTACTTGTATATATCTAATTTCCAACCACCTGCTCCAAACCCATTCACACCGCCCTCGCAGTTGTCCTAAAAACAAAACAAAACAACAACAAAAAACCAGTCTTTCTCTCTAACTCTTTGAAGTTGTATGTTGAATGTTAACTATACTGAAGTTGTATGCTTTTTTTTATAAGATTGATTTGCCTATTCTTTTTGTTTGATTGTATGTTTTTGTTAGCTGGGTTCTAGTCACCCTTATTGGTGGTTATTAATATCGCAAACACATTTCTATTCAGTGCCTTGTGTGTTGTACCTGGTTGTGTTGTATTTTGTGCCTTTAAATCAAAGCAGGAGAGAGAGAACTACACAACAAGACATCCTAGATCAGGGGTCCTCAAACTTTTTAAAGTGGGGGCCAACTCACGGTCCCTCAGAGAGCTGGAGGGCCGGACTATATGAACTACTAATTCCTACTGTAACACCTCGGCTGCGCTCACTGCCCAAAAAACCTGGTGGGCCAGATCAGACTCCTCTGCGGGCCGCATGTGGCCCACGGGCCGTAGTTTGAAGACACCTGTCTAGATCATGGGGAGACCAAAAAACACCCTGCATATGAAAGAAAAGCAGGCATCACCAGAAAAGGAAGTAAACGAGATACAGGCAACCAACCTACCAGAGCAAGAATTCAGAGTAATGATCATAAGATGGCTAAAAAGAATGGAAGACAAATTTGACAATATGAGTAAGAACCAAGAGGAAATGAAGAAAAACCAAGAAGAAATGAAAAATGACATTGCTACTGTAAAGAACTCAATAGAAAGCATCAAGAGTAGATTAGAAAAAGCAGAGGACCGCATCAGTGAGCTAGAAGACAAGATGGAAAAAAATACCCAATTAGAACAGCTTCTGGAGAAAAAAATTAAAAAACAGGAAGAAAGTCTAAGGGAAGACTTGGGACAATAGAAAACAAAACAATATTTGAATAATAGGGGTTCCAGAAGGAAAGGGAATGGAGGAAGACATGGAAAACGTATTTCAAGAAATAATGACAGAAACCTTTCCTGAGATAGAGAAGAAAAGACCCACACAAATCCAAGATGCTCACAGAGTCCCAAGCAAAATGAACCCGAGAAAACCGACCCCTAGGCACATTATAATTAAGCTGGCAAACACCAAAGACAAAAAAAAAGAATTTTAAAGCAGCCAGAGAGAGACAGAAAGTTACATATAAAGGAACCCCCATCAGACTTGCAACTGATTTCTCCACAGAAACTTATCAGGCCGGAAGGGAATGGGATGAAATATACAAAGTCATGCAAAGGAAGGGTCTGAATCCAAGAATACTGTACCCAGCAAGGCTATCAATCAAAACTAAAGGTGAAATCAGGAGCTTCACAGACAAAAACAGACTAAGGGAATTTATCTCCACCAAACTAGCAATGCAAGAAATGCTAAATGGTCTGCTGTAAAATTAAAGAAATAAAAGCAAAGAAGGAACACAGGGGTATAGAATAAAAATGGCATCAAATAAGTATCCATCAATAATAACTTTAAATGTAAATGGACTAAATGCTCTAATCAAAAGACATAGGGTGTCAGATTGGATAAGAAAACAAGACCCATATATCTGTTGTCTACAAGAAACCCACCTCAGAAAAAAAGATTCACACAGACTGAGGGTGAAGGGATGGAAAAAGCTTTTCCAGGCAAATGGAAATGAAAAAAAAAGCTGGGGTAGCAATACTTATATCTGACAAATTGGATCTCAGAGTGAAGGACATAACAAGAGATAATGAAGGCCACTTCATAATACTAAAGGGAGCAATCCAACAAGAAGAAATAACCCTGGTAAATATATATGCACCCAATACGGAAGCACCCCCAATATATAAAAAAAAACTGCTGGAGGACATTAAGGGAGAGATTAATAGCAATACAATCATAGTAGGAGATTTTAATACCCCACTGTCACCCTTTGACAAATCATCTAAACAAAAAATCAGCAAAGAAATATCAATCCTAAATGACTCGCTAGACCAGATGGAATTAATCGACATCTTCAGAACATTCCACCCCAAAGCCACAGAATATACATTCTTCTCCAATGCACATGGGACATTCTCAAAGATAGACCACATTTTGGGACATAGGCAAAGTCTCTTCAAATTCAAGAAGATAGAAATCATATCAAGCATCTTCTCAGATTATAGTGGCATAAAACTGGAAATTAACTACAATGAAAAAATCCAAAGAAATCAAACACATGGAGACTAAACAGCATGCTATTAAACAAGGACTGGGTTACCAAAGAAATCAAGGAAGAAATTAAAAACATCCTGGCAACAAATGACAATGAAAACACAACTATCCAAAATCTATGGGACACAGTAAAAGCAGTTTTGAGGGGGAAGTTCATATCCCTACAAGTCTATTGCAAAAAACTACAAAAAATGGTAAAAAATGATCTAACTCTACAACTCAAAGAGTTAGAAAAAAAGCAACAAGAAAACCCCAGTGTAAGCAGAAGGAAGGAAATAACAAAAATCAGAGTGGAGATAAACGACATAGAGACCAAAGAAACAATACATAAGATCAACAAAACCAAGAGTTGGTTCTTTGAAAGAATAAACAAGATAGATGAACTTCTAGCCAGGCTAACCAAGAAACAAAGAGAGAGGACCCAAATAAACAAAATCAGAAACGAAAGAGGTGAAATAACAACAGACCTCGCCGAAATACAAAAGATTGTTACAAAATACTATGAACAACTCTATTCCAACAAACTGAACAATCTGGAGGAAATGGAAATATTCCTAGAAAAATACAAACTTCCAAAACTCAATCAGGAAGAATCTAAAAATCTCAATAGAGCAGTGACTTGGGATGAAATTAAAACAGTCATTAAAAAGCTTCCAGCAAACAAAAGCCCAGGGCCAGATTGTTTCACAGGAGAGTTTTACCAAACATTCAAGGAAGAACTAAAACCTATCCTCCTCAGACTATTCCAAAAAATTCAAGAGGAAGGAACACTTCCAAACTCCTTCTATGAAGACAGCATCACCCTAATACCAAAACCAGTTAAAGACAACTCAATCAAAGAGAACTACAGCCAATATTCCTCATGAACATGCATGCCAAAATCCTCAACAAAATTCTAGCAAATCGGCTCCAGCAGAGCATCACAAAGATCATACACCATGACCAAGTAGGATTTACAGTATTCCAGGAATGCAAAGTTGGTACAATATCCACAAATCAATAAACGTGATACATCACATAAACAAGTTGAAAGATAAAAATCATATAGTCATATCAATTGATGCAGAAAAGGCATTTGATAAAATCCAACACCCTTTCCTGATAAAAACTCTCAACAAGGTGGGAGTACAAGGATCATACCTCAACATAATAAAAGCTACATATGATAAACACACAGCCAACATCATACTCAATGGGCAAAAACTAAAACCATTCCCTCTAAGAACAGGAACAAGACAGGGATGCCCACTATTGCCACTCCTGTTTGACATAGTACTGGAAGTACTAGCCATTGCAATTAGACAAGAAGAGGAAATAAAATGCATCCAAATTGGAAAAGAAGAAGTAAAGTTATCCTTATTTGCAGATGA